TGAACATTTCTGTCATCTCTCTTTTAATTGGGATTTGTAGTTCTTTTTCTGTCTCTGATATTTGTTGATTACTGATATCCAATTCCATTGACTGTTTAGGACTATTTTGCATACTTAAATCAGACTCTCCTTTATCTTCTCTGCTCTGGGGCCTTTCTGGGGTCACATTTCCCTGGGATACGTACTTTTTAATTGTCCCCGTTTGTGTCCCTTTAGGCCCGGTTCCCTTTGCACTTTTATTTTTCATTTCTTCTGTAACCTTTATTTTCTCTTATAAACTTATACTTTGCAAAACGAAGAAATTAATAAGGTGTAGAAATAGAATTCCCAGCTTTGTCTTCCCACCTTTCTGTATGCCTTTGCCTGCACCTTGCGTTCTTCTCCTTATTTTTTATTCTTATTCTCTGGGGGTCCCCCCCTTTTCTTTCTCTCCCTGCTTTCCTCCAACTCTATACAATTTTTGTGTTTGGGGCCACCGCCAGACTCACTCACCCCTCCAACTCGTGAGACGGCTCCAGGCTCCTTCCTCCAATTCTTTTCAGCAGGTCCGCTCTCTTCCTCTCAGGGGGACCCTCCAGGACTTTCCTCCATGCTCTTCTTCCTTGTCTTTGTTAGGGAGGCTCACCATCGACCGCCTGTTAGGGCTCCCTGGATTGCAGGTCGTCCGGCAGAGCAGAATCTCTCCTGCTCCCTGTCAGCCTCCGGCCGGGCGGCCGGCTTTCTTGCCTCCCAGAGGTGCACTGCGGCCGGTCACATGTCCCGGCCGCGCCTCCCTGTCACCCGGCAACCAGGCTCGGCGTCCAGGCTCAGCGTCCCTGCCACACTCCGCTGGTCTCCGCTCTCAACTCCGGGGAGCCGCTCAGCCAGAGGAACCCGCCCGGTCGGGGTAGGTCTCTACCCTCTAGAGCTCAATCTGCTAGGGGGGAATTTTAGAGTCCAAGGGGGGGTCGGTCGGAAGAGGCCCGTGCGGGAGCTCCTACCACGAGCTCTCCGCCGCCGCCATAGTCAGGCTCCGCCCCTCCTTCCTGTTTGATTGCTAAAGCTTAATTGAACAAGCTACCATGCACAGCTGCACCAGAGGATAAGCTGGAGATGTACAATAAAAAATGGAAAGGATGGGGAGAATATAAAGAAATGGCGAAAAAGGTGAAGAGATAAGGTCCTGGGTAGTCGGTTCAGAATTGGATTTAGGAATAATAGAATTATATGGAGTAAATGAGAGAAGAGAGAATATAGAGCGTGGGAAGGTGAGGGAGGGAAGGGAGGGGACGGGGAGAAGGAGGGGGGGGTGTTTGGGAGGTGGGGATGGTATGAAAAGAAAGTCATACCATCCCCCCCTTGATGACCGCCCCTTGATGACGTCGGTGTGACGAAACCGGTTGGGCGTAGCCTATTTGATGTGGATGTTAGAGAGCCTTGCTGGTCTGTGCTGTATGGGAGAGATCTGCGGTGAGCATTAACTGTATCTCAACCCTTTTTTGCGATTGAAGCTGGTGTCTGTTGGACACCTTGTTTGTGAGTTTCCTTATACCTTTTTTATTAAAGAGATAAATGAAAAAAAAAAAACGTATTGCACCATTATGTTCTCTTTTTTGTCCCTGAGTGTACTGCATGCTCTCATGGAGGTATGAGACAGAGTGGAGAAGTTCATCATAAGAGCTTGGGCTGCAAAGTTGTTTGGCTGTGATTATTATCTGGAAGTATCTGAAACATCACCATATCTATTTGGACATCGGGTTCATTGCTCCCAGAGCACAAGTGCTGTTGCTGGTTTATAATCTGACCAGCCATTAGCTCTGGTGAGTTCATTTAATCTCCTTTGGTGGTGGATTTCTCACAATTGGTTCAAGTCACTGAAGATATATATATTTTTTTGGACACTAATTTATGTTTGGACACTCTAATTTATTTAAAACACTAATGTTTTTTGGATGATGACATACACTTTTGTATAAGTTTGTTATTAGCGCATACCTTTTAATTTGAACACCTCATTTTAGCATTTACTTTCCAGCTGTAATGTGGATGTTAATGTTAATTTGTTATAGGCCTCCCATTGTTAATGAGCAGGTGGAAACTCAGCTCCTTGCACAGATCAAAAGGGCTGCAACTACCCGGAAATTGGAGTAATGGCACTGCAGGAACACTACTAGACCAGGTAATCTCAAACCATGCAGAGCTTATTACTAATGTCCATATAAAAGAACATCTGGGTAGCAGTAACCATAACATGATTTCATGTATTGTTAGCTGTAAACAGCAAGCACATACGGGAAAAATAAAAATGCTCAATTTCAAGAGAGCTAATTTTCCAAGGCTGAGAGCTGCTCTCCAAGCCTTAAACTGGGAGGGAATATTGGCATTGATGAACACACATGAAAACACAGATGTGGGAGTTCTTCAAAAAGACTGTATGTGAACACACTGTATGTGAACACACTGCAAAACATATTCCCATGGGCAACAAGTTTAAAAGGCTAAAAATCAAACCTATGTGGCTTACGGCCAAAGTTAAAAAGGCCATAGATAATAGGAAAAGAGCTTTTATTAAATTTAAAATGAAGGAACACTATCATCATTTAAACATTACAAAGAATATAACAGAATATGCAAAAATTAAATAAAGGCCGCAAAAAGTGAAAACGAACGACAGATTGCAAAAGATAGCAGGACCAACCCCAAAAAATTCTTCAAATATATTAATAGCAAAAAGGTTCAGTCTGAGCATGTAGGCCCTTTACAAAATAATCTAGAGTGGGTGACTGGGGACAAAGAGAAGGCAAATTTATTTAATACCTTCTTCAGCTCTATGTATACAAAGAAGCATGGGGGAGCTCTCTTGTCCATAATGGGCATGGTATTGACACAGCTCCAGATGATCCACATTGACTCACAATTGATATGATCCAAAAATATTTAGACAGTATAAAGGTGAATAAAGCATTTTGACCTGATGGCATACACCCACGGGTCCTTAAAGAATTGAGCTCTGTCATTTCAAAGCCATTGTTTCTAATTTTTAGGGATTCCCTAAAGACTGGCATAGTACCACTGGATTGGTGTAAGGCCAATGTGGTGCCAATATTTAAAAAGGGGTCAAAATCTTTACCAAGTAATTATAGACCTGTTAGTTTAACATCTATAGTTGGGAAGATATTGGAGAGTTTAATAAAAGACCACATAGATGAGTTCTTGTTGATAAAAAATATTTTGACCAACAGACCACATGGATTCATGAAAGACAGAAGTTGTCAAACAAATCTGATTTCTTTTTATGAAGGGGTGAGCAAGATCTTGGAGAGAGGGGTGGCGTGGACATAGTATACTTGAATTTTGCAAAAGCGTTTGACACAGTTCCCCACACACTGCTAATGTGTAAGGTAAAGTCTACAGGCTTGGAAAAATCCATATGTAAATGGCTAGAAAACTGGCTCAAAGATCGTATTCAAAGAGTAGTGGTTAATGATTCATACTCTGAATGGTCTAGGGTCATCAGTGGTGTACCCCAGGGTTCAGTGTTGGGGCCCTTACTTTTTAATATATTTATAAACGATATAGGGTCTGATATTAAAAATCCCATTTCCGTCTTTGCAGGTGACACCAAGCTGTGCAGTGGAATAACGTCCTTACAGGATGCCTTCAACTTACAAGCCGACCTCAATGCACTGTGTAATTGGGCAACTATGTGGCAAATGAGGTTTAATGTTGATAAATGTAAGGTTATGCACTTGGGGGCTAAGAATATGCATGCATCATACATACTAGGGGGGTACAACTGGGGGAATCAATGGTGAAGAAGGATCTGGGAGTTCTGGTAGATCACAAGCTTAATAATGGCATGCAATGCCAAGCGGCGGTTTCTAAAGTGAGCAAAATCCTCTCTTGTATTAAAGAGGTATAGACTCCAGAGAGAGAGATATATTACCCCAGTACAAATCACTAGTAAGACCTCATCTGGAATATGCAGTTCAGTTTTGGGCACCAATTCACAAAAAGAACATTGGGGAACTGGAGAAAGTACAGACAAGGGCAACCAAACTGATAAGAGGCATGGAGGAGCTCAGCTATGAGGAAAGATTAGAGGAACTGATTTTATTGTCTCTTGAGAAGAGGAGATTAAGGGGGGATATGATCAACATGTATAAATACATCAGTGGTTCATATAGTGAACTCTGTGTGGAGCTATTCACCCTGAGGTCATCACAGAGGACAAGGGGGCACTCTTTACGTCTGGAGGAAAAGAAATGTAATCTCCAAACACTGAAAGGTTTCTTCACAGTGAGAGCTGTGAAAATGTGGAATAGACTCCCTCAAGAGTTGGTTCTGGTCAGCTCAGTGGATTGCTTCAAAAAAGTCCTGGATTCTTTCTTTGATACACAGAATATAACTGGATACTAACATTTATAGGTAAAGTTGATCCAGGGAATATCCGATTGTCTCTCGGGGTATCAGGAAGGAATTTTATTCCCAGCAGGAGCAAATTGGATCATGCTTTGCTGGGGGTTTTTTTTTTGCCTTCCTCTGAATCAACTGTGGGTATAGGAATATAACTTTTTTTTTCTATGGTTGAACTGGATGGACTTTTGTCTTTTTTTCAGCCAGACTAACTATGTAACTATGTAATGTCTTTGTGTTTTTAGTATATTTCTTTTTACACAACAGACCCTGCAGCTCCTGTTAAATCAATTTTTACATTGCTGAGCCACTATGGCTGTTACTTTTAGTCATACTGTATAAGACTGTATAAGACTGGCCAAACATAATACTATTTTCTTGTACAAATTTCCCTTAGATTTACCAAAACCATATAACGTGAGGTCAAACCTAAACACTTTCAATTTGTATGCAGTCAGGCAGGCCCTTGCAGTACATATTTAAAGGTAAATCTACATAAAATTGAATAAGAAAATTGTATAATGTATGGCCACATTAAGTCTTACACATACTGTATAGGTCCCTCACTTATGAGATAAGCTCTCAGCCCAGATTCGGTTCCATACCTCCTCATACATCTTCATCTGATGGTAACAAACTCCTCTGTTGTAATATACAAGAGAGCATGATGGATCCAAATCTGCAGCTTTTGTTAAATCCAGAATGGCCAGTTTATATGCCTGGAAAGAAGAAAATATAAAGTCCTTTTTACTCAGGAAATCTATCAGATAAAGTGTATAATATATTCTGTTCAGTGTTTTTTCAGATACACATATAAAACAGATAATCTTTATGTAAGCAATCTTATCAGAAGTTAAAGCCCAATTGAACCGTCACTACAGTATTTATTCGTGTAATGCAGCCAGGCTTCACATATACTAATAATGTTTTTTTTATGGCTCTCCAGCAGTCCAACACAATACCATATAGCAATCAACAGCACTTATCAGGTAGCAAGAGCACTGCTGATTAATAGGGCTGATATTTTATCTCAACAGGTGTTAAGCAGGAAACAGTAAAGCCCTGTACACATGATGAGAAAATTTTTTTTTGCATGTTAGTCACATGTCAAAAGTGAAGAGGCTACTATAGTTATGAAAATTATTGCAGGAAGAAAATTCGGAAGTGATGTAATGTATTTGTATTGTATTTTCGGATGAAATCAAAATCGTGCGATCTGGTATCGTATGAGAAACATTTTCGTGCTTGTCCCTTCAAATAGTTTCCGACGAAAGCTGTGTACTAACGATCAGATTATCATACGATTGCTTAGAAAGCGATATTTTTTTGTACAATTTTCTGATCGTGTGTACTAGACCTAAGGGTTCATTTACACGTGCTTCGACTTTAACACACATTGAAGCACCTAATGCTTCAACATACGTTTTTGATGTGTTTATGATGCTTCTGTGATGCTTCGATGATGCTTCAGTGATGCTTTTTTGAAGCTTGGCAAATGCCTTGTGCGTGTGTTCATTTTCAATTTGTTTTAAGAGGGCCCAATAAAACCCCAGCTCAGTAGTACCCCTACTCAGCAGATCCCCAGCTCATTAGTACCAATGTTCAGCAGATCCCCAACTCATTAGTACCACTGTTCAGCAGACCCCCAACTCATTAGTAGCCCGGTCAGCAGATCCCCAACTCATTAGTACCACTGTTAAGCAGATCCCCAACTCATTAGTAGCCTCGTTCAGCAGATCCCCAACTCATTAGTAGCCTCGTTCAGCAGATCCCCAACTCATTAGTAGCCTCGTTCAGCAGATCCCCAACTCATTAGTAGCCTCGTTCAGCAGATCCCCAACTCATTAGTACCCTCGTTCAGCAGACCCCCAACTCATCAGTACCCTCGTTCAGCAGATCCCCAACTCATTAGTACCCTCGTTCAGCAGATCCCCAACTCATTAGTATACCACCCTCGTTCAGCAGATCCCCAACTCATTAGTACCCTCGTTCAGCAGATCCCCAACTCATTAGTACCCTCGTTCAGCAGATCCCCTGCTCAGCAGTACCCCTCGCTCTGCTGATGCCCCAATCAGTAGTACCCCCAGCTCACCTTCTGCTATAGATTTCCCAAGGTACACACCATGTGTGCTGTCTGCTAGTTTCTCTGCTCCAGTCCGGACCCCGCTCACCTTCCTGCTGCTCCATGCTGCACGCAGGATGTGAGTCTGCACCAGACACTTCCAGAATATATACACATGAACTTGAAGTGACTGCTGAAGATGTCTTTTTGGTTGTTTGTTTGGCTTGCTGGTTTCCCAGTGCATCCTGGGATATCTCAAACCAGCAATACCTACAAAACAAAGCAAAGCTAAAGCTTAAGGCCTCTTTCACACGGGTGGTTGTTCTTCCGCTTGTAAATGCAGTTTTTTTTTTGTAAAATTCCAACACTCCTGGCACAGAGATCACTTGCGCTTGTACATTGCGTTTATCTGTGATTACGTGCGTTTACATGTGGCTGCATTTAGCAGTAGTAAATTCTTGCCTTTTCTATAGCAACTGTTTACTTATTTTTTCTTTGTACTGCAATTAACTGCGTTTATGTACAAATAGCTGCCGCACATCTCTTCTGGACGCAGTCAACTTTATTTTTCCTAAACGCATAAAACCGTATCTTATGAAAACGTTGCTAAACGCAGTGTGTGAATGGAGCCATAGGGATGCATTGTCTGCATTTAGCTGAGGTAAATAAGTTCCTCTAACGGCAACTAAAAGCTCAAATCTAACTGCCTGTGTGAAAGGGGCCTAATAGAAGCTTCTCAAAAGCTGCAAGTGCTGTAAGCGAGCTTTGTCATAGACTTCAATGGAGGCACTAGAGACCCTCTGAAGCACAAACAACAACATGGGGTATCATTTTTGAAGCAAAGCAAACAACATGTGAACAGGACAGTAAGCTTATCGTTTTATTTAGTGACATGGGCTTTGATTGGCATTCAGAGTGCTTTAAAAAAGCATGTCCAATGCCATATTTTAAAGCAAGTGTAAACGACAAAACAATGTTTTTTTTCAAGCCTAAGGCAGGTCATAGATGAGCCGTTTATCGGCCGATGCTGCCACCCATGTCCACGAAAAAACGTCAGTTTTTTTGCGGATTTTCCAGCATGACCGATAAAAATAAATGAAGAGATCCACAAAAACCGGCCAACGGGCTGGCCCCACTAACAGCGTGATTATCATACGGAAAAAAATTTGGCCGATAAACGACCCGTCTATGGCCTGCATTATTTCCAACAGCAACAATTCCATTCAGATTCTTTTTTTTAGTTTGCATTTTTTTTAACTACTCAAAGATATTTGCATAATAGCAGAATGATCTACAGCAGGTGTGTCAGGTGCAAATTATGTGATACATTACAAGCATATCTTGTTCACAAAAATATAAATATAGATTTTAGTATTTGCTACTGCCTTTTTTACTAATATTAAAGAAACAACAATATACAGCAGGAGTCAGCTAAAAAGTTGGGTTTTTTTTTTTTTTTTAGTGTAGCGTGGGTTGTCAGCACCTGGGGCAAGGCAACCTTTGGGCGACAATCTTTACGATGCCATTTGTCGTGCACCAATCACGGACCGTACCACATTTTAGGTGTCATTGAAAATAATGGCACCAGAACCTGCGTTTTGTGATCACAGCAAATTTGCAGCAATCCCAAAATGCCCTGGTGTGACTGGAGCTGCTCTGGTTCACACATACTGTATGCGATTCTGGATGTTTTTTTAAACTTACAGATTCACATGACAGGCTAGATATTATGTGTTCCGATTGAGGTGGATCAAACAGATGTGATCCACACACATTGGGGTTGATTTGCTAAAGGCAAATAGGCTGTGCACTGCAACTGCACTCCAAGTGCACTTGAAAGTGTATTTTAAGTGCACTGAAAGTGCAGTTGCTCTAGATCTGATGGGAAAAAAAATGCAAGGAAAATAAAAAAAAACAACATTTTTGCTTGCACATGATTGGATGAAAGAAATCAGCAGAGCTGATTCATTTCACAGCTTCCCCTTGGATTTAAAGCAACTACACTTGAAGTGCAGTTATTTACCTTTAGTAAATCAACTGCATTGTGTTGGGTCCTGTGGGAGTTTGTAGAGGTGCATTTCAGACTTGTAAGTGATAGAAGTGATAGAGAAGAGTGGCATGTGGAGATAATTGTTCACATAGGATTGCTATTGACAGTTTTTGCAATGAAGTGAATGTGAGATGTTTTTTCATTGAAGTCAATGGGAGGTTATTTTGCATTGAAATTAATGGGAGGCAATTTTGCATTGAAGAAAGTGGGAGGTATTCAAATCAATGGGAGGCTTTTTGCGTTGAAGTCAATGGGACATGATTTTGCATTGAAGTCAATAGGATGCTTTTTTTTTGGATCAAAATCAATGGGATGTGCTTTTGCATTAAGGTTGATAAGACACGATTTTGCATTGAAGTCAATGGGATGCAATTTTGCATTGAAGTTAACGGGAGGCAGTGTGTGAACCTAAGCGCCAGCACGCAATTTCTAGTCGCCATGGCGACCTGACACCTGGGATTTGTCAAGCCCTGAGATACAGAATGTACAATTTTGTTTGCCTGATGGGACCTTTGGATATACCTCTTGGTATGGGGGAGTGTGTGACCTTCTCCTTCAAAAGTTCACTGCACAGGACTTTCAAAGTAGTATGAAACCCAAATGCAAACATTTCTTATAATGCAGCTTACCAATTCTTAGATATATTACTTTTTTCTATTTTTATCTGGTGATTCAGCCAGCAACTCTGCTGTTTTTTAGAAGCTCTCCAGCAGAATGTATCAGCTTACATGGATGGACCACCCATTTACCACTGACAAGGGTGATTAAAATTATCAGCTATTATAAATTCAGGTAAAATTTTTATCCTTAAAAGGAAAAAAATGTTTGCTGTATCCGATTATTAAATACTAGCTGGAGTTTGGCTTAAATGTGTTATTTGTATTCCAATCTGCTAATACATTGGACATGCCCCTCCCTCCCAGACTGACAATACTGTTTGCTGAGTCCTGCCTCATCCAAAGTGGTGTCTCACTAATACTGGAGGTGTGTTATTGGCCAGATCACCAGGTGAAAACAGGTCAAAGAAGCAAAAGAGAAGAAAACTGATGCAGCCACCACATCTAATGATTGGTAAGCTGCAATATAATACATTTTGGTTTTGGGTTTAATACCACAAGTCAATTTCCAAAAGCTATAAGTGCAACACAGGAGCACTATGAGTAAGTATCAGCAAGGTGAGTTGGGGGGGTATCAATGTATCAATAGAATCTGTCACTTTGACCTAAATGGGCAAAGTGACAGATTCACGTCATTGACACATATGTGTTGCTCAAAAGGCGTTTGAAATTCAGATAGCATTAAAATAAGCATAAGAGCTTGTTAGCACACTTGGTGCTCTCTGAAAAGTGATCAACAGTGGATTGCTCTTCAGAGGGTGTTTTGACAGTCAGTGAGGAGACAATATGTTTGCCTGTTTTGACCTCTAAAAATCTGCATCACTGCACCACAGTGCGTTCCGGTGAATGGATCGCACTCAGGGGGTGGTACTGCCCAATGAGCACAAGAGGAATTATTTTGCAAAGCACCATGGTTGCTTCATGTGTAAATCCTGTCTGATGACTTTGCAGCTTAAGGGGGAACCGTTGGGGGGGAGGGGCAGAAAAATGTGGCTCAACCTTGAATTCTACTTCCCCCCCCCCCAACTACAAGTGTAAACAAGGCCTCAGTTGGCCAAATACAATCAAATCTAATCAAGTTGTCCAGGTTAAGAGCTAGTTCATACCATGCCTGGAGCTGAATCACACAGAAACGTTGTGTGTTCCCGCAATTCACATGCGGCACTGTGCGGTGCAATTTCAAGCACATTCATTGTGATTGGGCTTACATCGCACTGCACCGCACTAAAAGTAGTGCATGCTTTACCTTTTTAAAACACACTGTAACCGGATCGTATGATACAAAAGTACCATGCCATCAGGGGAGGGCAGCAGGTGCTTTTGGTTGTCAATGATATCCTCTGCAAATTGCAAAAGCAATGCATTGTGCATGTGGCTTGAATTGGACAGGAATGCGATTCAGATGCAGGCATGGTGTGAACTGGCCCTGAAGGCTCATTTCATGGAAAACCAATTCATCTTTTGGTCATCAGTGGATGCTCATAAATTGTATTAATCACTGGCTTCTTTAAATTCTAGGAGACTCCAACAAGTTATTTTCGTGAGACTGCCTACGCTTCCCTTCTTCACCATGAAATAGTCAACTTCAAGGTGCAGCAGATTTGTCTCTGGCACCGTCATAGTATGTTCACACCATGCTCATTCTAAAAGGTATAATATCCTTAATATACAACATTCACCTGGGAGGCAACCTGATGTGCCATCTGCCTTATGTCTCCAAATGGAAAAAAAAGATCTGGGAGGTTCTCTGGAGCCACACGAATAAGGACACGAATCACTGAACTGTTCATCTAATGAGGCCAGTTATAAGCATTTGCTAAGGTGGTTCGTGGTACCTCACAGACTGGCTAGATTTGTCCAGGGCACCCCAGACCATTGCTTAATGGTTTGTGGAGCAACTGGCACTGGACCAGGGTTTATCAGTCAGCAATACTAAAGCCTAGAAGAGTATAAATTAAGAACCCCTATGAAGCTCTGCTGAATCTCAAACAATCTGAATGCACTATGAAACAATTTAAGCTTTCAACTTTTTACAGTCTTGGCCAAAAATATTGGCATCCTTGCATTTCTGTCAGATAATGCACCATTTTGCCCAGAAAATTGTTGCAATTACAAATGTTTAGGCATTCTCATGTTTATTTCTTTTGTTTGTATTGGTATGACACAAAAAAAAAGAGAAACAAAAAGCCAAATCTAACACATTTCACGCAAAACCCCTAAAATGGACTGGACAAAATTATTAGCACCCTCAATTTAATATTTGGTAGCACTCCCCTTGGAAAAAATAACTGAAATCAATCACTTCCTGTAACCATCAATGAGTTTCCAACAGCTCTCTACTGGAATTTTGGACCACTCTTCTTTCGTCAACTGCACCAGCTGTCTCAGATTAGAAGGGTTCCTTTTTCCTAACTGCTGTTTTGAGATCTCTCCACATATGCTCTATGGGATTGAGATCCGGACTCATTGCTGGCCAGTTCAGTACTCTCCAGCGCTTTGTCTTAAACCATTTCTGGGTGCTTTTTGATGTGTTTTTGGGTGATTGTCCTGCTGTAGGACCCATGACCTCTGAAGGAGACCCAACATTCTGACACCAGGCTCTAAACTGCACCCCAGAATTCTTTGGTAGCCTTGAGATAATGCCATGCACCGGTCAAGACATCCAGTTCCTGAAGCAGCAAAACAAACCCAAAACATCAGTGAACCTCCACCATGTTTGACTGTATGGACTGTATTCTTTTCTTTAAAGGCCTCATTGCTTTTTCTGAAAACAGTAGAATGATGGACTTTGCCAAAAAGCTGTAGTTTTGTTTCGTCTGTCCACAGCACATTCTTCCAAAAGGATTTTGGCTTGCTGGGGTATGTTTTGGCAAACTCCAATCAGGCTTTTTTATGTTTCTGTGTCAGCAATGGGATCCTCCTGGGTCTCCTACCATAGTGTCCCTATTCATTCATATGGCAATGTTAAGTGTGAGCCAACACAGCTGTACCCTGTGCCTGAAGGTCAGCTTGAATTTGTTTGGAACTTGATCGAGGTTCTTTATCCACCATTCAAACAATCCTTTCTTGAAATCTTTGATCAATTTTTTTTTTTTGTCCACATCCACGAAGATTGGCTACAGTGCCATGGGCTGTAAACTTCTTGACAATGTTGCTCACATTAGACACAGTAACATTAAAATCTCTAGAGATGGACTTGTAACTGTGAAATTGTCCATGTTTTCCAAAATATTTTGTTCTCAGATCCTCAGACAATTCTTTACTGCTCTTTCTCTTCCTCATGCTCCATGTGGCACACAGAAACACACAACAGAAAGGTTGAGTCAATTTTTCACTATTTTAACTGATTACCGGTGTGATTTTCTATATTGTCATACCAATACTAACAAAAGAAATAAACATGAGAATGCCTAAACATTTGTAATTGCAACAATTTTCTGGGTGAAGTGGTACATTATATGACAAAAATGCAGAAGTGCCAATATTTTTGGCCATTACTTTATGTTGTGACAGGTGCCTTGCATTTTCTTAACATGTGGGACACTTTGATTTGCTTGCACCTGGATTTATATTTTGTACCCTATGTCTAGATGTGTACTCTCATGTTTGAAGTTCATCTAAGTTTTGTACCTAGGTCATGTAAAACTCTTTTAATGAAAAAATTATTGAAACAGAAATGATTATTGGATTTAGGATAGAAATTTGAGAGATTTTACTGTTGACTTGTTTCTAAAGGTGCAGATTCCAGGGCCCTTACACTTTCTTCGCTACTTGGAGAGTCCCTGACCTGCAAAAAGCATGTGCATATAAATTGTCAGACAGTTGATATCCACATGCTTGCTGTGGGTCGGTGTCATAGGAAGAATAAAATAAAGGTGACAGCTCTAGAACCTGCACCTTAAAAAGCAAGTTAACAGTGGGCACTCCCATATTTCCATCCAGACAGAGTCCCACAAGTTGGTGCACAGGATACAATCTAGCAAAAAAAAACCCCAAAACCTAAAGCTGTGTTACAGCTCCATATAACTCTGGAACTAACTTATCTTTGCACATAAGCACATCATTAAAGTAGATCCAAACTTAAACAGAATGGTACTACTATAACCATAGGTTTCCTATTTTGACAGTATAGTAACTTGCTTGCGTAATGGACACTTGCAGTCACTATTAGAATGTCATGTGACAAGGTGACTTGAGCAAAATTGGGTGACTTGGAGGGAGTTTTGTCATTATTTAACAGCAAGTGTCTGAACAAAGGCCTTCACAGTAGGACCACAATGAACAAAAAATTGTGGAAAACATGGACAATCTCACAGTTACAAGTTTTAATTAAAGTTGCAGATTTAATAATTTGAAAATAACTCCCTAATAACTAAGTTAAATTAACGTTTTAAAGCCGATATGAGAATGTAGTGATTGCTTTTAAGCATACTTGATATTGGTCTAGGAAGGACCTCTGTAGCACTTTCCTTTATTGTACACACTAACCTATTGCTGAAAAAATCCAGAAAAATCAAGTAATATATTACATAGAAATCAGAAAAAAGGTTTTAGCATCCTTTTCCATACAGAAATAGATTACTGCTGCAGTATTAGATCTATAGTACCTGAATAAGTGTACTGTGCAGACTTTCTATAGCACAGCAGTGCGGCTCCTGTTTGTGCCAGCCATGTCAAATACCCAGCAAGAAAAGCAATTTAGTGCAGAACCAGCACACTCATATATTGGGTTAGGAGAACAACCTAGCAAGTGAGAACACATAATGAACACCACAAAATGTTAAAATGATTCTAGAACACACAATTCATCAACTGAAACTCAGGACTTCGGAGCCTCAGTGAGTATAAAAGGGAAAAATTAAATAAAACTCCATGTGTCACAATTACTTAGATGGAAAGTTTCAGGGCTTCTGAGCTGGTAAAAGGGTGTTGTGAAGATACAATGACTCACCTTTATGTAGTACTTTAATGCCCCTCTGTAGAGATAAGCTCTTACGCTGTGCGGCTGAACTTTGATTGCAGCATTGCAATTCATGATGGCTTTTGAGTATCTCTTTCTGAATCCATAGAAAGCTGCTCGACACAAATAGGCCTGCATTAGGGAAGTACATTATCAAGGTTAGTGGACAGTGAACAACTGGCACTTAGATCCTGGCACTTATCAATGGATGAACTAACTGTGCTCCAACTACACATAGAACTAATATACAAAGCAAAAGCCGCCCACACTTTTTTTCAGATGCTTGTAACATGGATGAGTTCTCAACATCAAAACTAAGCACACTATGTGTACAAAAAAAAAAGGTTTTCAGAAACGTTCCTTAAATTAATAACTTTTTTCCGTCATATTCGTTATGTTACAATGATTTGTTTTCAGAATTAGTATCGTATATTTGGATTCCTTCATAACTGTGGTTTTTTCAAATTGTTTTGAATTCAAAAATCAAGTTTTGAAATTCGAATTTCAGAAGACATTTGTTCCATTTTACACTATTCTATTTTTATATTATATTCTTTTCCATTCTATTCTGTTGTATTCTATTATATTCTTTTCTATTCTATTCTGTTCTGTTTTATTCTATTTTATTCTATTCTATTCTTTCCTGTTCTATCCCATCATCTTATTTCACTTTTATACCTTACTGTATTTATTGCCATATGTTTCCATTTCAAATTAATTTTCGAATTCAAAGTCATTTTGGAATTCAGATACTTTGTTTTTGTTATCTATTTTGGATTCACTGAAAGTAGTTACTATTGTGATTCAGAAAATTTTGATACATACGAACCTCTGAAGAATGCAAATTTTGTATGAATTTCGATTTGTAAGGAAACAAATAGCACATGTCTGAAGTACACTGTCCTCCTCCAGACCCTGCTCCTTCTTCTCTAATGCATTTCACCAGAGCAGGAGCTGAATCTATGATCATGCAGAGTCTGGTGGAGGGCAATCTGCTTAGACTTGATGTTGGGGATGCATCCAATACAGCATTCTGAGGAGAAGGAAAAAAGAAAGACATGGATGGTGTGCAGCACTTTCTGAATTTGGAAAGTTGGAAAATGGACTGTTTAGTTAGCATCCATGGTAGGTGAGCTAGAAAACCACCTAGGATGATATCTTGTATTTTTTATATATGTATACTGTATATACAAAGCACACATGTGACATTCTGACATAATTTACGCATTCTACAGTCACAACAATATCCACTTACATATATAGCACAGTTGATAACAGAATTACGTGCAGAGTGTTACTTTGCCTCCCGTATGGCCAGAGAACAATATCTAGATAAATAAATTCATGTATATCTGTACAGTAAAATTCCTCTAATCTATAATCCACAGGGCCTTATTAGTCCTTGTTTATCAAACAGGCTATTGGACTGCTACAAAATGTATATTAACCACTTGCCTACTGGGCACTTATACCCCCTTCTTTACCAGGCCAATTTTCAGCTTTAAGCACTGTCGCACTTTGATTGACAATTGCGCGGTCATGCAAGATTGTACCCATATGAAATTTTTATCATTTTTTTCTCACAAATAGAGCTTTTTTTTGGTGGTATTTAATTGTTGCTGGGCACTTTACTTTTTGCGCTATAAACAAAAAAATTGCAAAAAATTAAAAAAAAAAAAAAAAGTTTCTTTGTTTCTATTATAAAATTTTTCAAACAGATAATTTTTCTCCTTCACTGATGTGCGTTGATGAGGCAGCACTGATGGGCACTAATAGGCGGCACTGATGGGCACTGATAGGCAGCGCTGATAGGCAGCACTGATAGGCAGCACTAATGAGGTGGCACGGATAGGCAGCACGGATAGACAGCACTAATAGGTGGCACTGACTGGCATCACTGCTGGGCACTGACTGGCAGCACTGTTAGGCATTGACTGGCGCAACTGCTGGGCACTGACTGGCACAACCGCTGGGCACTGACTGGTGGAACTGACTGGCAGCACTGCTGGGCAGCACTGCTGGGCTGCACTGGTGGGTGGCACTGGTGGGCACAGGTGGGTGGCACTACTCGGCACAGGTAGATGGCACTGCTGGGTGGCACAGGTGGGTGCACTGCTGGATACAGGAGGGTGCACTGCTGGGCACAGGTGGGCGGAACTGGTGGGTGGCACTGCTGGGCACCGATCATCAGGGCACTGATCATCAGTGTCGATCCCTGCTCTGACAACTGCTGGTTCTCGGCAGTACTTTCCTCACGCTCTGACAGCGTGAGGAAAGTGCAGCCGAGAACCGGCAATTGCATTTCCCGGTGATCAGCGTGTCATTGGACACGGCTGATCACGTGGTAAAAGGCCGCTGTGATTGGCCTTTTACCACATCATGTGTACAGCTGTGTACGTAGGACACAGCGATCACGGTGATCCCCCGGTGCATGCCCCCGGGGACGCGCAGGAGAGCGCGTTCAGGGAGGACGTCATACGACGCCCTCCAAGAACTGGCCGGCCGCAGTGTAGCCGTCATTCGGCTATCTGCGGTTGGCAAGTAGTTAATAAAAACTGTGACTAGTATTTTTATTCAATTTTACAAAAAAAAAAAAAAACTGTTTAGAAATAAATTTGCCAGTATCTATTTCTGACTTGTTCATGAAAGGTGTTGGATCCAAGTCTATCAACTTGATTTGCAGTTCACTACCTAATGAGTCACTGACTTGGAACACAATTAAAGCCAGGAAAAAGTGGAAAGTTTATATGTCTGTCTATATGTCTATAATCAGCAAATACCTAAATCACAAAAATTAAGCACAAAATACCTTTCCACTCCATAAACTTGTCCTCCACTATCTTATCTTTCAGCAAATACCTAATGCCCCGTACACACAATAAGAAAATCGTACGAAAAAATTTTGTGGAACCACTGATCGAACGATCTTCTCTTTGTTGATGAGCAGGATGTTTTAACCGATAACGATATTGTGAACGAAAAAATACGGTTGAACAACAGTGAAAAATCTTGTCATTTCACATACGGACGACCGATTTTCTATGCGGTGGTATGACGGTCATACGAAAAAAAAAAAATCTATCAAGCGCTATCACGCATGAGTGGAAACTGAAGATGACCCAGATGCTTATGTCCAAGGAATCTTCATAAACACGAACGAAAAATCCAAATGTTAAAAGTAGATTGGCCTAATGAGATAATGAAACCAAATTCTGCATATTATATTTTATGTATCACTATTTATGTATATAGATAATGTAATAAACTATATTATACTCATTGCTGTTAATTGTTGTGTATATCACTCGTTCTGGCCGAAAGGGCGTGGCCACAAGGTCACACACATACTGCATCAGTTCCACTTGTACGGAAGACATCAACACTACATATTGCCCAACGAATGATTTTTTTAGATTGGTTAATGTGGGCCACGATTTTGACCAATGAACGAACGCCTCTCGGTAGTCGGATGACCGATCAGTCGATTTTCTAAACGTGTATTCCCACCTTTAATCAGAAAATTAAACACAAAATACCTTTCCACTCCATAAAGTTGTCCTCCACTGTCTTATCTTTCTAATAAGAGAATCAGTCCATAGTCTGATGCATGTTAAAATCCATCATATACATCCTATGAAAATATCATAATTTGCAAAAGTGGATGTTTGTATGCTGCATGGCATACTTTGTCCCTTGTGTCTGTGATGAGACCTGGCCCTTGACTTCACAAGCATTAGGCAATGCACCATGGAAGTCTAGGGAGTCTATATATGCATGCCCTGAATCTAGGATTTTAATTTAGCTGCAGAGCAGATAGAGGGAGTGTACAGAAACACTACTTGTATGTTACGGCAGTAAAGGGTTATGCCATGCTGCAGGAGGTTATTTTATATTTGGTTTGCTGATGACATGTGCTAAAAGTACATTAGTTGATGAGAAAAATTGGAGACAATTGGATTAAGGCCCCATTCAATTCTATGGAAGCTCACTAAGCAAGTGTGGCCAGTGCTGAATATTTCCACCTGGAGGCTGTAGAGAAGCAGTAAGCTGTTCGAATTTTCTAGGTTAGAGGACCAAGGGTAATGGGCCACCAATGTACTACTAAAAGTGCACTTGTCCTTTATCTTTAACTGTTATCTTTATCTGTACATGCTGTAAATGTCTTCTTCTACCTTCATTTTCTCTCTTCACCCCTGCTGCCTATATTGATACCTGGAGTATTTTCAGCCATCTAGAAGTCAAGACTATTTCTACAAAGTGCCAGATAATGGCTTACAGAAACTTACAGAACAGAAGGTTTCTTATGTATCGCCTTATTAGGGCTATTTTACCTGGAAATGTCTTGGGTTGATGTCAAGAGCCCTGTTGAAGTCCTGCACACAGTTGGCTTGCTGTAGACGCATACGGCACAATCCTCGCTGATAATAAGCATCACAATAACCTGAACGAGTTTTCACTGCGCTAGTCAAAGCCTCAAGTGCCTGAAACCCCAGGAAGCTGATGTCAGTTGCTAGCAATACAGGATACTCAATAAGTGATACCTTATTCCTAGTTTAATTAAGATAAAGGAGCACTAGACAGTCATACAAAGTAAGATTTCACTGAAAAAAATGCAGAGAATTTTAAAACTGCCTTTTGTATGTGGATTGTAAATAATCGTGTTGAGAGACAGACCAGTGTATGTGTCAAAAATGACTAACTGTTGCATAATAACATTTTTGTATTTTTGTTTCTAACACATTCAAAGTGGTCATAAAGGCTCAAGATTTTTTTATCTTCCTGCATTCTATGCACAAAGGTAAAAACCCTTCTGTGTGCAGCAGCCCCCTCACTCCCCCAATTCTTACCTGAGCCCGAGCCAGATCCAGCAATGTGCACAAGAGCCTCAACGCTGGAGACTCTCCCTTCTCATTGGCTAAGACAGCAGTGGGAGCCAATGGCAATCACAACCAGTGAGCCAATGAGGAGAGAGAGGGGCGGGGACGAGCCTCGGCTCTGAATGTGAATGGACTTATCATGGACATTTATTGAGCATTCCTGAAGCTTTTTCAACAGTTCATAAACACAAAACCACATCATAAATACATCATAAATGCTATAGGCATGTTAATGAGCATTGCTTTGTTCTTCATAATCAACATACATGTGAACAAGCCCTTATGTAGACACAATATGAAAACGTATACATACAAGATAACTTGTATCCTTCCCTGGTCATTTATTTTGTGAACAAATCATTACATAGGGTAAGGCATTTATGATGTACAGAATTCTACATTCCATAGACTGTTGAGATCATCCCAGACAGTGCAATAGTAGGAGTAAAATGGTTTTGCTGTCCATGGTGCTGAAATCGTTTTTACAGCCTCTAGATAGCCCAGGACTTATGCTTGATAGAAATTAATGATTTAATAGATATACTGCATGTCACGAACAGCTAGAGTTTATGTACAAAATATTAAATCACAGGGTAAGTGAGCGCTTAAAAAATAAAATGATAAAAATTAATAAAATGAGATAATAGCAGCTGAACACCAAAAAAAGTACCATATAAACCTCCAAAATAGTCAAAATACATAAAAGGGGGGGGTGCAGCGCAGCGCTAAATTATTGTGCTTAAAGCATATAAACATGTTCATGCAAGGAAAACAGCATGGTAAGACAATATTAAAGTGCGAATAAAGGTGCAAATCAAAATGTCACCTATTGGTGACTATAGGTGATTGGACACTAAACCACAACACAGTCTATGACGTGATCAAGAAAGATCCCAAAAAGATCTTCAAAAATCCAATAGCTGGATCCGTGGATGAGGTGATAAATATGTAAAGATTGCGCACTCACCAGATACGCAATCACAATGCGCATTCAAAGCAGATACTCTCAGGACATCCAGGATCCTTATATGAGTCTGGTCAAATGCCCCTCGCCACTTGATAGTATTGCCACACTTGAAAAAGGCCGCTCTGTAGATGTGAATGGCTCCCACCGGAGCTCTCACCAGCTCTGCGTGTGACAGCAGCCAGCAAGGTGAAAAATCCTGGGTACAGTCAGTGTACAGAGCAAGACAAAAGCCCGGTCTCCCGGTAACTCCCACCTCCGCCAACTCTGCGCTCCCCTGCCTGACTGCACCACAACCTGCAGGGGAGCGTGGAGTTGGCGGAGGTGGGAGTTACCAGGAGACCGGGCTTTTGTCTTGCTCTGTACACTGACTGTACCCAGGATTTTTCACCTTGCTGGCTGCTGTCACACGCGGAGCTGGTGAGAGCTCCGGTGGGAGCCATTCACATCTGCAGAGCGGCCTTTTTCAAGTGTGGCAATACTATCAAGTGGCGAGGGGCATTTGACCAGATCTGACCAGACTCATATAAGGATCCTGGATGTCCTGAGAGTATCTGCTTTGAATGCGCATTGTGATTGCATATCTGGGGAGTGCGCAATCTTTACATATTTATCACCTCATCCACGGATCCAGCCATTGGATTTTTTGAAGATCTTTTTGGGATCTTTCTTGATCACGTCATAGACTGTGTTGTGGTTTAGTGTCCAATCACTTATAGTCACCAATAGGTGACATTTTGATTTGCACCTTTATTCGCACTTTAATATTGTCTTACCATTATGTACAAAATATATACAGAACAACTTAGCATAATGTATATGCGCTACAGTCAGAATGTCAACCACTTTCTCTTTTAGTTATTTCAGTTACTTGCAAAGACTACTACTTCTCTCTCATACATCTGAAAGCAATGTTTGTATATTTATATTAAATGTATTTACAGACTGGGAATTGTATTTTATCTAGTGGCAGTGATTATCCCTAAACTGATTTATGTGCCACCTGATCTCGAAGCAAGTACAGTTGCAAGAAAAAGTATGTGAACCCCTTGGGATTACGTGGAGTTTTGCATGAATTGGGCATAAAATGTGCTCTGAACGTCATCTAAGTCACAACAATAGAAGAACACAGTCTGCTGAACATAATACTACACAAACATTAGATGTTGCCATGGTTTAATTGCACATAACATGTAAACATTCACAGTGCACGGAGGAAAAAGTATGTGAGGCCCTAGCTTAATGACTTCTCCCAGAGCTAATTGGAGCCAGGAGTGAGCCAACCTTGACTCCAATCAGTGTGATGATATTGGACGTGTTGCTGACAGCTGTCCTGCCCTTAAAAAAACACACACCTGTTTTGGGTTTACTGGTTTCAAGAAGCACTGTCTGATGTGAACCATGCCTCGCAGAAAAAAGCTCTCAGAAGACCTACGATCAAGAATTATTGACTTGCATGAAGCTGGAAAGGGTTACAAAAGTATCTCCAAAAGCCTTGATGTTCATGTGTCCACGGTAAGACAGACTGTCTACAAATGTAGAAAGTTTAGCACTGTTGCTACTCTCCCTAGGCGTGGTCGTCCTGTAAAAATGACTGCAAGAGCACAGCGCAGAATGCTGCATGAGGTAAAGAAGAATCCCAGAGTGTCAGCTAAAGACCTACAGAAATCTCTGGCACATGCTAACATTTTTGTTGACACATCTACAATAAGGAAAACATTAAACAAGAATGGAGTACATGGGAGGACACCACGGAGGAAGCCATTGCTGTCCAAAAAGAATATTGTAGCACGTTTGAAGTTTGCAAAAGAGCACCTGGATGTTCCACTGCACTACTGGCAAAATATACTGTGGACAGATGAAACCAAGATTGAGTTGTTTGGGAAGAACACACAACACTATGTGTGGAGAAAAAAAAGGCACAGCACACCAACATCAAAACCTCATCCCCACTGTAAAACATGGCGGAGGGAGCATCATGGTTTGGGGCTGCTTTGCTGCCTCAGGGCCTGGACGGATTGTTTTCATTGATAGGAAAATGAAATCCAGAGTTTATCAAGACATTTTGAAGGAAAACGTACGACCATCTGTCCGCCAACTGAAGCTCCGCAGAGGATGGGTGATGCAACAGGACAATGACCCAAAGCATACAAGTAATTCAACAAAACAATGGCTGCAACAGCACAAAATACGCCTTCTGGAGTGGCCCAGTCTGAGTCCTGACCTCAACCCGATTGAAATGCTGTGGCATGACCTTAAGAGAGCGATTCACACCAGACATCCCAAGAATATTGCTACACTAAACAGTTTTGTGAAAAGGAGTGGTCCAAAATTACTCCAGATCGTTGTGCAGGTCTGATCTGCAACTACAGGAAACGTTTGGTTAAGGATATTGCTGCCAAAGGAGGGTCAACCAGTTATTAAGTCCAAAGGTTCACATACTTTTTCCTCCCTGCACTGTTAATGTTTTCATCTTATGTGCAATTAAACCATGGCAACATCTAATGTTTGTGTAGTATTATGTTCAGCAGACTGTGTTCTTCTATTGTTTTGACTTAGATGACGTTCAGAGCACATTTTATGCCAAATTCATGCAAAACTCCACGTAATCCCAAGGGGTTCACATACTTTTTCTTGCAACTGTATGTGTTCAACATGAGCGGTACAAAGGGGGTTTAATTAAAACATAATGAAAACTCATTTTGCCTGACCCTCTAAGATTCAATTCACGCATCACTAAATGTCCTCTGGTACCTCTCTGTCACCAGAGAAGGCTCTCACCTAGACACAGGGTTCTATTTAAGCCCTTACTATAATTAATAAAGAAAGAAATACTGCATTTGACCACTATTCCCTCCCTTTATTGGTGGCCATACAAACCTTGATAAATTAACAATTTATCTTCTGATCGATCCTTTCCGATAGGAAGATTAATCTATAGTCAACAATCCCTTCAATCAATATGCCACACACACAGGGAAAATCAATTTTTTTTAGAGTTAAATAGAAATTCCAGGTATGAATATATATATATATATATATATATATATATATAGAGAGAGAGAGAGAGAGAGAGAGAGAGAGAGAGAGAGAGAGAGAGAGAGAGAGAGAGAGAGAGAGAGAGTTACTTTTTTTGAGAAATAAGAGGGGTCAGTATTGAAGAACCACATCCCTTTTTTGCCAGTAGGTTGTCCCTGCACTTATCCCCCAGGGGACCTGTTGTTGGCACTTTAAGTAAGAGATGCCATGAATCCAGTGAGTAAAATAATTATACAGTCAATCATAATGTATGATATTCTGCATATACAGTATACTGTGTATACATATTTGCAAGTATTGGAAACTTTTTTGTCTCTTTTATAACCATTTAGATTGAAGACTCCTTGAAATACTCCTGAAAAAGCAGCTCCTGCCAACGAAAGGCCTATACACACACAACACACACACAGATATGCACAGTATGTTACAATGATATAGAAATGGACAAAATATTGAAATGGTATAGGTAACTTTGCATTTACAGGGGTGTCCCATATTAACCAACTCCTGCCTGGCCACTGTAGATAAACAGGTGGGTGGTCCTGTGCTGAGCGGCTGGCCTGCTGCATTCTAA